AAATTAAACGGGTAAATACGGTTTAATTCAAGATTAATAAAGCTTAGACAAAAGATACACACACAGGTCTTTTTTTTCCATCTTTTTTATTATCTGGAGTAACCTATGTAAGAGGATTAGGGCCAAGGTGCAAAAACATTTTTGTTTTTCTGAATGCTGACTGTTTCTCAAGATTTTTGAAGAAAAAAAATTGAATTCTAGCTTTTTTTCCAGTAATCTTAAAGTCAGAATCCTGCTAAAGACAGCATTTAAAATCAGTTCTGTGCTAATTATATATTCTGCATAGATCAACATTGATTGATAGATTCCCTAAAAAAGTCTATTGATCATTGATTTTTTTTAAGTTATTGCTATGTAGCCCAATGCTTTGGCCTTGAGAGGGCAGGGTACCTTTTGAATACAGAATGAAGATGGACAGCAGAAAGATTTCTATTATTCATTAAAAGTGTGTGTAGTTTTTTTAAAAATAAAAATGACAGAACATGAAAAAGCCTGCAATTTAATTTGCTTTAACTGGATCTTATATATCTCACATAAATAACTAAAATAACTTAAAATATCTAGACATGAACCAATTTCAGATACATGGAATGTAACTGTGGCGAAGCCGATTAAATGTAAAAATGACCTGCCATATACGTGAGCTTCTGCATGCTGCTGAAAATGCTGTTGTGCTCCCAGGGCAGAAATCAATTGCTGAATTAGCAAAATGGACTTTTGAACTAGCAGATGTCTATATCTATTTTTATCTGCACTGTTAACCAGAAAAAAGCAACAGGTTTTTCCTCCTCTGACTCTGCTGTGAAAAAAACTACTGCGATTGGAAATGCTTTGCTCTGTGCAATGTACAGTGCAAGGGAGGTAGAAATTATAAGGATGTATCCCCCGCGACACAATATTTCAGGTGCAGTATATAAATTTTGAACTTTATTGTGATAGAACATTYGAAAAAACAATCCAAATTTACTCCCATAATTAATATGACCTCTCAGCTTTATGGATGCGTGGGATGGGTGAGTGGGAGTTGTTGGGTGGGGCTGTTAGGGTGGCAAGACGTCCTCCTTGTACTATGGTAGGGGAAACACTGTAGCCTAACAAACAAAAACACTCAAAAACACTGAAAATAGGTTTAAAAAAGTGGATCATAACTTTTGCACAGTAGTGTATTTGGCTGGTTAAACTTATAATGTGATGTACAAACATGTTCAACTTGTCATTTACCAACTGAAACTCTTCATGTTGCAGATGACAGTTTATTATCATTTGTTCAAGTTAGAAACAAAAACAACAGTTACTTTGGAAGTATTGGTCATGAAAAAAGATTTTAAAAAGTACGCTTGAAGAAAATTGGATGTAGCAGACTGTTGGTAAAATAAAAGAAGTTCACTCATAAGTGCACCGCTCTGTTGGTTGAGCAGGGTCATCCGTCTCTGGTGAAGGCCCTTTCTCAGGTATATGGGAAGGTCTACCAACGTCAGATTGACCCCTTCAAAGAGATCCTGGTCACGGTGGGGGGTTATGGTTCCCTGTTCAGCATCATGCAGGGCCTGGTGGAAGAAGGAGATGAGGTGAGGTCATTTCAGTTCTTTTTTCACCGTTTACAAGGATTCATATTTATATTGTGGTACTCATAGTGCAGTGTTCTTTTCCATCAGGTCATCATAATTGAACCTTTTTTTGACTGCTATGTACCCATGGTGCGGATGGCCGGGGCCAAGCCGGTTCTGATTCCATTACGGCCTGTATGTTTCTTTGGAGTTTACTCTACACCAGGGGTGGGCAATCCTGGTCCTCGAGGGCCGCTGCCCTACAGGTTTTATGTTTTTCCCTGCTCCAACACTCCTGATTCAGACATTGAATTACCTCGTCCAAGTTCTGCAGTATGGAGGACCGCCACTGACATAACTAGAAAAAAAGAGCAGAAATATATAAATGGACCAATAAATAAATTCAATTAAAAAATGCCAATTAAATTAAAAAAGGAGAGCTTTATCTCATGTTTTATAATTTAATTGACCTTCATATTTATTTTTCCAACTTAGTTCCAAATAATAATATATTTTTGCACATAGTTTATATTAAAAAATGCCAATTAAATTAAAAAAGGAGAGATTAACCTCATGTTTTATAATTTAATTGACCTTCATATTTATTTTTCCAACTTAGTTCCAAATAATAAAATATTTTTGCAAAAAAGTAAAATGTAAATTATGTGCATATATATATATATATATATAT